CATCTCTGGGAAGTTTGAAGGCTGTAGGGGAAAGGGAGGGGGGATAGGTCCCTGGACATATTTCCAGAGCATTGCCCATCTTTCTGAAGCTGCTGAAAAGCTGAGAAATAGAAGGTTGGGGCATCATGTGTGCCAGCTAGGTCTAAGCTGAGCCAAGCCTGGAGGAGGCTCCGTAAGCAGTTATTGAATGAATGAATGAATGAATGCCTAATTGGAAGGCCAGCCAAACCTCTTCAGAAATAGGACTCAAAGAAGAGGGGGAGGCCCTAAAATTTTGGGGGTTGTGGGTCAGGGGTCCCTACTCCAAGTGGGACAGAAAAGGAGAGAAACAGGAAGGGAATGTGGGCCAAGGTGGGGGGTCTTTTCCTCCCCACCCCCCATGAGATTCAAACAGACATAAGGCTTTGGGAGCCTCCCTTTCTCCATCCTCCCTGCTTGGTATGTGTGGAGCAGAGCAGGACTGTATGCCTGGGAAGTGCTGGAAAAGGTTAGGTGTCATTTTCATCTCCATCCCTAACCCATCATCCCCGTCATCCCAGGGTGGGTTCTTCACAAAGTACTTTGGCTATTCTTGGAAGGCCTTGTTGCATTCTTCCTTCTTAATTTCTTCCCCAGACACCCCTCCCCGCCCCACAAAGTCAGACTAGCCAGAGGTGGCCAAGGGGAGGGCCTGGGGTCTGCCCAAGCTTGCCCCTTCACCCCCCACCCCCTGCTCCAGTCCTGGCACCTCCAGAGCAGTGTGGTTGCTGCCGATGTCGCGGTGGAAGAAACTGCCTTTCCGAACGATGGTCACATACAGTTGGGTCTTGGCAGTGGCTTCCTCAGCTTTCCCAGACTGGGTGGGCTGGGGACAGGGCAAGGGAAGAAGACACACAAGAAGGAGAGTGACTAAGGGGCAGACCCTGGCCATAAATCCAGCCCTCTGCACACAATCACTTGGCATTGCTCCACCGGGGCTCCGAGCTGATAATTAAAGCTCATGGTCCCTGCGAGCCCTTCCAAGATCAATATAATAAATCTTCCCTTTTCTATTTGAATATTTCATCGCCCTCACAAGGACCACTGCCTGCCTGCTCTCTCTGTAAAGATGTGATAACAAGGCCTGGGTTGTAAGTGGACAGAGAGCCAGGAGGCCTGGGTGATGATCACAGAATCACAGCTAAAGCACTGTCTTCCAGGTGAGTCATGAATCTCTCTGGGCCTTCCTGGCCCTGCCTGCCCCAGGTATCTCATCCAGGCTTAGGGAAGGGGCATAAGGAAGGTAAAGACCCTAGGCCATGGTTGAGGTGGTGCTTGGAAAGAGGATCAACGCAGGACCTGGTGGGAAGCAGGGAGGGAGGAAAGGAGGGGAACTGACCTGAACTGAGCACCCACAATGTGCCAGGTACCTCACTAGAGGCTTTATGCTCATTGTTGCATTCAATTGTCCAAATGGCCATGCTCAGTGTCTCTATTTTGCCAATGAGAAGTAGAGGCCTAGGGGGTTAAGCGGCTGCTATGGATATATTGTTAGCAAGAGGCAGACCTGGGATAGAAACCCAGACAATCTTGCATCACATTGTTCTTTCCGCCAAACCATAATAGGGTCTGGAGTGCACACTGAGGGGAAAGTATGCTTCTGTTCATCTCTGGCCCAGTGCCTAGCATGCAATCAAAGAGTGAGTTCTTCCTTCCACCAATCGGCATGGGGGAGAGGGAGCGGGCAGGGGAGCTAGTCTGGGAAGTTCAGACCATGGACTGAGGTCCCTGAGGCTCCCCTCTCCAGGCTCATGTCAAGTTCCCTACAAGAGGGGTGCACTCCAGGGAGCACTTTCTTTCCCACACACCCCAACTCTCCTGGGCCTTCTTCCTGCTAAAGCAGTGTGTGGAGGCCGCACAGAAAGAACGGACTTGGGAGACAGCGTGACCTGGGCTCACCCTCCACTCTGCTACTCACTTGCTCTCTCACCCAGGTTGAGAGGATTCCTCTCTCTGGGTCCCAGTCCTATGTGTGCAAAACAGAATTCACCTTGCTGATTAAAGATGGTGTCTAGCCCAGGACCTGAAACACAGTAGGTACTATGAAAATACTGTATTTCTTTGATTTTTAGATATATTCCCACTTTTAACATACATGAAATCAGAATATATCTTTAATTGGTATATTCATTTCATGTAGTAGATGTTCTATGCTATTGGGCTGTTTTACAGAGATGAGTTTGGAGAATTCCAAATTTCTCATGGAAATCGTTCATGTCTACCTGTCAGGAGCTGTGCTTCCTGAGTCTCATACGACCCAAGACTTATCTTACTGTACGGTGAGCATGGGAGGCTCTGAGAGAATAGCTGGGCACATGAGGGTGGTTACCATCTGTTCTTCCTCTACCTGTTCCAGGCCCACATGGGCCCAGCACCCAGGGCCCTGACTTACCTTCACCAGCTCAAAGTGGTAGGGGTGGAAGAGACTCAGGTATTTGATGGGGATTTGATAGGACAATAGCTCCTCTTTATTTTTATTGTCCATCACCTTGAGGACGATATCTGAAGAGAGAAAAAATGAGCTCAAGGTCAAAACAGGGCTTAGTGGACCAGCGTCACCCCTGGTGAGGTGAGCCAGTGGGAGGTGAGACATTGCTGAGAGCAGGGAGCAGGGGCCATGCTGAGGAACCAACACATGTGTGGGACACACACATGTACACAACTTTAAAAGCACTGTTTGAGCTCCTGTGCAGGGCAAGTGTCCGTGCTAGGTACTGTTGGGATCCAAAGATGCAATTCTGTCCAGTGGTCCAGAAACTCCCAGCCCAGAGATGGACACATACAGTATGGAGCTCCCATCACAACAGACACACATGAGCTGGCACAGAGATATGCACGCAAGCAGGAATAGTACCTCTTCCTAGGAATAAGGCCGCTTCCCTTAGTCAAAGACATTCTCACCAGCAGCTCAGGCAGGAAGGGGAGGGCTTCCCACATGTTGTGAATGGGGTAACTGAGTCTCAGTAAGGAAAAGTGATTTGCTCAAGAAATCTTCCAATATCAATAAAATATCTTCAAGGAAATGAAAATTAATTTAACACTAAGAATAATGCACCACTTAGAAAACTCCCTCTAAAGAGACTACATTTTGTCAAAAAATGCATGAACTTCAGGATGAACTCTGAGAACATCAATGACTTAGAAATAATCATGGAAATGCTCCTTAGTGAGCACCTGCTGTGTGCAAGACATGGGGATGGGTGCTCCTGAGTCATTATTCCAACAAATCGCCACCACAACCCCTCAAGTAGGCATCACCATCTGTTTTTAAACTGTGGACAGTGGAGCTAAGAGAGGTTTATATTACTTGATCGCCATCACACAGCTAGTAAATGGCTGATGGGAGAGGCTAGGCTTGTAACCCTGGAGGCATCTTTTCATTTTGGAAGTCTATGGTGTGAGAGAGAAGAGGAGATGAGGAGGGAGGAAAAAAAAGAGGAGGGAGGAGAATAAGAGAGATGGAGGAGGGAAGGATCTAAAAGATCTAGAGAAGAATGGAAAAGGGAGGATGGGAAGGACGAGAGTACCTGATGGAGACTGGGGTAGCCCCTTGCTCTTTGCCTCTTCTTGAGACAAGGACACATCAGCACCATGGACAGCTGCTGGAGGGGCGGGTTCAGCAGTCTGGGAGCCCTGTGTGGCTGGGTCACTTGGAGCTGGGTGGGTCATTTGGATGAGCATATGGAGGGTCACCTGGGTGGGTCAGTCCGTTAAGTGTCCAGCTTTGGCTCAGGTCATGACCTCATAGTTTGTGAGTTCAAGCCCCGCGTCAGGCTCTGTGTTGACAGCTCAGATCCTGGAGCCTGCTTCGAATTCTGTGTCTCCCTCTCTCTCTGCACCACCCCTGCTTGCACTCTATCTCTCTGTCTCTCTGTCTCTCTCTCTCTCAAAAATAAACAAACATTAAAAGAATTTTAAAAATGACTGTTGGAGGAGCATATGGAGGAGGATGAGGAGGAGGAAGAGGAGGAGGAGGAGGCAGAGGAGGAGAAGAGTTTTGCTAATTACTCTTCCTTTCTTCTTTTTTCTCACTGCTACCCTGGAAACAGAGAGGGAAATACATTTGTCAGAGTCCCTCAAGAGCTGGCCAAGTGGGATCTGTGCTCGAAAGAAAGAAGGGGAAATGCGGAAATGGGCATCCAAAAGACCTGAGGTTGCCTTGAAGGAAGTGGAATAAGACAAGAGGTTTGGAGTGAGAAGACCTGGCTTCTAATAAAAACACGCCAACTTGCTCTGTGACCTTTGTCAGTCACTTAACCTCTCTGAGCTTCATTTTCCTGCTCTGCAAAATGTTAATATTTTAGAAAGGAAAATCGTTGTCTCTCTCCTAATATTGTTGCGGGGAGGGAAATGTGTTTTTCAAGCTATGAAAGTCTAAGCAAATGCTCCTTGTAGCTGTCACTATTTTCCTCTTCATTAACCATCTGTAGTGCTCTGTATACTCACCGAGCCCTGGGCAGAACTGAAAAAAATTCAGCTAGGGGATTCCAGTGCTCCCAGCCAAAACTTCATCAGTAGCTATGGCGGCTGCAGCCCCTCATGGCCACTACGCATGGGCCCTGAGTCCCTAAATCTGGTTGGAATTTGCTGAAGCTGAAGAAGGGGTGAGTGTCCTGCATTTCCTCCTCCTACCCCAGTCTTTGGAGCCCTGTGTGGGCAGCCAGCAGATGAGCTGTGATTGGGGGGAATGGACAGCCATCCCTCCCTGTTCCTGTCTCCATGCTACAAACACGCTTCATCAGCTTCTTCTCTGGGCATTGTGCCTCTCCAGTCTCCCACCGCTCCCTTTGTGTGGCCAACAAGCCATTTCTGCCACCTGCCTGCTTTGGCCCTGACACGGGTCTGCAACTCCCCTTTGCTTTCATTAACACCTCCTTGAGCTCCCTCCCCCTTCCCTCCACCTCTTGGCTTGGCCCCCACCTCCCCACCCCCACCACAGACATCACCACAGCAACCAGTTCCAACCAGGTTCCAATGAGCATCCAGCTACTTCAATCTGCAAAGAGGCACCTGCCAATATTCCCTGCCTGCCCATGAGGCCTCGCTACCCTCTTGTTCCTGCAGTGAGTCCTGTCCCCTCTCTGCTGCACAGATGGGCCCCAAGGCCACTGACTCATCATGTCCTTTCCTATAGTTACATGACATGTGCAGAGCTCAAGGTGGGGTCCCAGACCACGTCTACTCACCACAAACCCTAACTTCCTGTCAGCCACATAGATACATGCACACACACACACACACACACACACGCATACACACATACATGACACACAAACATGCATGCCTCTGGGTACAGACACAAGCATGTACTCACACACACCACGTTCACACATACATACGAGCCAGCGGGCAGGCATTCACAGAGACACGCACATTCAGGCGCACACAGGCACATGCGTGAAATCCTAGGTCAATTCTTTGTCCTCTTCCACATTTTCTCAATTCATCCCAACAGCCCCACCTACCCCTTTAGAGGCAGAAAAATATCGTCTGGTGTGACCCAGAATTGGCTCTGTCCCCCTTTATTGATGGGCCTCCTCACCCTCTGTCTCTCATCTTCCTGTATCTTTAGCAGCTGGCTTTCTGCTCTTTATGAGGCAGACGGGAGTTCTAAGTCCCTGGTGAGATTTCAAGGTGGGGAAGTAAAGCCGGTCCTCTGAGGGAAGGGCCACCTGCAAGATAGGAACTTGAGGTTCTTCTGACCGGATAAGAGCACAGACGCTGTGCACACCTGTGGGTCTATGCTGACTATGCCTGATGCCAGTGCCCATAGCTGTCCTGGCATCTGCCAGTCAATACTCCTGGGTGCCCAGCCCCAGGTCTCACCCAAGAGTGGAAACCACGAAGTGCACACACATACTCATGTACACCTCTACCTGGAGATTTCAGTGTAAGCCCTGCCTTGAAAAACTTAAATCACCTCCAGTGTTAGAATTTGCTGAAAGACAGGAGCTGGAAAGGCTTCCGGGGGTGGAGGCAGAGGAACTAGTAGGCGGTTTCTATGACAGTGGCCCGTGGCCCTCAGGAAGCACAGGGACACCGCTGTCTCACAATGGGCAGTGCCCAGGAGACAAAGCAGGATAAGGAACCATTCTAGGGAAAAAGCTAGAACACTGGAGCCTCAGCGAGAGTGTGTATGGCTGATCCTAGGTCCTCCACTTATTGATTGGAGCTTGGGCCAGTTCCCTGAAACTCAGTGTTCCCATCTAAGCAATGGGAACAGCACTGCTCCTCCCAGGAGAAGCTCCCAGTGAGGGATGTGTGGAGATGTGCCAGGAAGCTGTAATGTGCCGTTTCAGTGGGAGATGGTAGTAATAACAACCATGAAAATAATAACAGCGGCCGTAAAAAGATAAGCTTTCATTATCTGGGAAATTCATTTATGTGGAACAACTCATTTTTCGAGCAGACTGAGGAGATGAGGCGTGACAGTATTATGATTTTTTTTCTTTAAAGTGCTTTTAACTGAGCCCAAAGAGGTGTTCAGGTGGCTTCCAGCTGACTCAAGAGGGAGCCTGCCTCTGCCTCACACCCCTCCCGTGCACGCCAAGCCACGTTTCGCCCCCCACCTCACCTTGTCCCGCATCCTCAGTTTGGAGCTCCACTTTGACCGTGTCCCCCCAGATGGGGGCTATGGTGGGCTCTGTGGTCACAGACGTGACTGCTTTGGCATTCTGGTCCTTCACATCCTCAGATGTGGTTTCCCTGGGGAGGGGAGGAGCAGGCTGAGTCAGAGGAAGGGTGTCCTGCCTGCTGCTCACCCCTTCTAGACACATTGTCCATAAATCTGAGCAAAGGGTGGACAGAGAATGGAGAGCTCCCTCCCAGGCAGACACACTCTTGTCATCCCAGGCCCAGGGGACGCCAGGTCTCTCTCCTTGGCTGCCCTGACCGCCTGGGGGACCACCCTGTCTCTCCGGCCACCGCTGAGGCCTTCACGTGGACTCAGGCACCCGAGGCCAAGGGTGGGGATGGGAATGGGGGTAGACTCCTTGCCTGTCTGACTTCCTGCCCTCTGCCTTGGCAGGGTTCCCCAGCAGGCGCCTGTGTGCATAGACTCCCCATCCTGACTCTCTTCTCTAGGTTCTGTTCAGTGGGAGGAAGTCTCTGGGCAGGGCGGCTGTGTGGTGCCCGCCTGGCTGGCTTCTCCTTTGACCTTCGTTTCCCGCTGGCCCAACTCCCAAGGCTCGGCCCAGCTTCCTGGGCTCTGAACCTTTTCAACGGAGCACATGCACACTACTGCCTTTTGCAGCACCCACTTCGTGCAGGGCCCTGGGCTGGACACTTAGAGCTGGGCACGGGGCAAGGCAGGGGGTCGGTGAGGGGTTGTGCAGGGCCAGCCTGTCCAAGGAGAGGTGGGATCTTGGGCCCTCTGCTTCCCAGTGCATCCCACAGGTATCTGACACTTATGTCCCTGAGCTCCCGAGCCATCAAACAGTTCAGCAAGAGAGTTAATACTTCTTCTGTTGAGGAGGTTATTATGTTGGGGCTGTAAATAGCGCTGCTACATTAACTGCAGCAATCATGGGTGAGGAACCATCCCAGAGAGCCTGGAGCAGGGGGAGCCACGCCATGTACTCAGGAGGGGGAGGTGCTGTGCACCAATGGTTCCCCAGGCAGAAGCACAGATGGTGTCCTCACCAGCCTTGGCCCTACCCCGGAGGCCCCCAAAGGGAGTGTGGCGCAGGCGAGCTGGCCCAGAAACTCAGAGCCAAAGTGCCCCATATGGTAGCTAAATCAGCCTGTGGCCTTCCCAGCCCACCCTGTTCTTCCCCTCCAGGAAGGCTTCAGAGCCCCCTGGTCCTCACTGCTCCCTCTGGCCTCTGGACTTGAGTGACACAGCAGCCTGGATCTTTGCTCCCCAATTGTCTACAGGACTCCTGCGGACACCCATTCTTGTAAGAGTCCTGTCTCCAAGCTCCAGGGCTCAGCTGGAGATTCCTCTCTGCTTCAGCTGAGAGACAGTGTGGCCTGGTGATGACGACAGGGTCCCTGGAGTTCCTAATCGCAGCTCTGCCCCTTATTAGCTGTGTGACTTTGTCAAGGTACGTGCTCTTGTGGTACGTTACTTCCTTCACTGTAAAATGGGGTTGATAATGCAGGGTGGTTGTGGGCATGAGATGAATTCATGTGTGTAAAGTAGTTGATGTGTTGTTAAGTATCATGATGGTGCTAATCATCATAATCGTTTTAATTGCCCTTTTAATCATCATAATTGTTTTAATTGGCCTGGTGTCCCCCCATCTTGACCCCAACTCTGGGTCTACCTCTGAGGATCTCGGGCTGCTGTGGCCAAGGTATGGAGTCCTGGGGAGAGGACAGGCTTCGGAGCCACACACAACTGGGTCTGAGGCCGCAGTTACCTCTTGACCAGGCCACCTGCCCTCTCTGAGCCTCAGTTTCCTCCTCTGTAGGTGGGATCTCCCTCCCAGGGTGGTTATAAGGACCGGGAAGAAAGCATGTTAAGCTCTTGGCACACAGAAGGCCCCAGTTCATGTTATTCCCTCATTTATGACACAAGCTGGGTGTTTCTCAAAAGTCGCTGACCCAGGGCAGCCTGGCAGGGGCAGGGGAGCACCGAGAGAGGGCTGGGATGATGAGGGGCGTGCCTCCCAGACTCAGCCCTGGTCCAGACACTTCGTCTCTGCACACCTGCGAAGAAGGCCCCTCTGGCCCGGGGCTGTGAAGGAGGCTGCCAGGCTGGAGAGGAGAAGGCATCAAGGCTGGCAGGGATTGGAGCTCCCTGCCTCCTGACTTGCTAACCTCCGCTAACTCAGGGGTACCGTCTGAGCCCCTCCTCCTGCCCCTCTGTGCCTTACACTCTATGTAAGGATGAGGTCAGTCCTCTACACCCCAAACATCTGACCTGCTCCTGCATGGACACCCAGTATCTTGTGTCCTGGGGGCTACCCAGTGCTCAGAGCAGACAGACTGAGGGTGAGCAAGGGACCTGAACCACAAGCAGTGCAGTGACAGAATGCAGGTCGGAACCCATGACCTGTACTTGCCAGCCTGTCTCCCTCTTGCCGGCAGGAGGGATTCCAGGTGGAAAGAGATGGGGAAGGACAATGGACAAGGCCAAGGGAGCCTGCTGGCGCTGACGCTGCTCAGGCATAGAAGGGGTTAAGCAAGCATCCCTTTCCTCCCTTCTCTCACCAGGAGAGGTCTGTCAGAGCTAGGTGAGTGGAGATGAAATAACTCAGGAGGGGTGAGGCCCCAGGGGAAGGAGGGAGGCTTTTAGCAGGTGGAGGGAGGCTGTCAGGGTAATGGCTTTTCCTGGCACAGCTGACTCCTTCAGGCCTTGATGCTATTCTAGAAACTACAGATCTAGAGGG